TGGGCGCCTCAGCTGCCCGAAGCGCCCACGTCGGCGGGGTTAATGGCTTGGTTGCCTGACTGATGGTATTACCTGCCCTCAGGTCGGTCTCGACTCTTAAGGATCCCGCCCCAGACCTTCTGCAGGACGATCTGCCCTCCGCCGGGTCCTTCGGGTCTCCTCACACTGCACGGAGCGTGCACCCCGCGGCCGGCTGTTCTCCTCCCTTCCCCTTTCGCACCATTATGGGCTGCCTAAGAGAACTTTGCAAGACTGGCCCAGAGGAAGAGGCGATGCTCAGCCTAGCAGATTGTGAGAAGTCGGGGGGGGGGGCAGAGTCGCGGCTGAAATGCCGCCTCTTCGCTTTGCTTCCCCGTTGCAAACTGGGACTTGCATGTCCCTCCAGGAGGGGGGTACCTGACTTTGCCTCCTTCCCTTCCTTCTCTTGATTTGGTGCTTTTTCTGAGACTCTGACACCAGAGAAATTCTCACACGCTTTTTCTCCAGAACATGGTGCTCCTGGCCTGGGTCTTTTTTTACTAACGGCAGCTCTACTCTCTGCTCAGGCACCACCAGCCTAGCAGCAGATGGGACCCTGGCATGTGGGCATCAGAGGGCCAAGACGGAGCAGTGCCCCCGGCCATGTTTGGAGAGATGCAGGGGTCATCCAGGGAATCTGGCTCAAAGGAGGTTTGGCACACACAAAAGTGTGTCTTTGCACTATGTGAAATTAATCTATGGAATTTATTGCCCCAAGGCCAGAGGTGTGACAGGGCGATCAAAGTTCTGCCTAGTTTTTATGTGTGGAATTTCAATGACACCGTTGTGCTGCCATCTTGACTTTTTCGACCATAGAAAGACAATCACAATCAAAGCCCCTGCAGCGCCATCTCGTTTTTTTTTTTAATCTCCCCCCCCCCCATGTTCCTGGTCCTGGCCCCTCTAGTGGACTGTGACCATATTTTCTTGGAAAAAATAAAAGACAAACCTGAAAAAAGGTGCACAAAGATTTAAAAAAAAACTTTATAACTTGGCTTTGCAAAGGAAAATTCAAGAGCAAAACCAAGAAAAACTTTAGAAAAATGCATATTCTAATAAAAATATCTAAAATCAAACAGTAAATGTCAGTTTATTTCAGAAAGACAGTTTAATTTCCATATTTTCCACATGAACGTGAAAGACTACTTTAAGTGGTACCATTTGTACAGTAAAAGTTAAATGACCAAAATAAAGGACAGAAGTGAGTTTCTAAAAAATAAATAACACTCAAGGACAGCTTTAAATAAAGAAATGTACTTTATAACAAAGGACGTGTGGTCACTGTACTCTCGTGGGAAGGTCTGACTGCAGGGGATGGAAAGGACCCTCTGTGTCCAAGAGTCCAGCAAGAACTGGGCTGGGTTTGAAGGCAGGTCACTGCCAGATCTCATCGCTGTCTCTTTAAGAGACTGTCCACAAGGCTGCAACCGGCCACGCAAATCCCCTTTACCATGACTATTGATGATTAACCACTAACATTCTGGAACTGCATTCATGCCCTCCGGAAGCAGTGCAGAAAGAATGCCGCTTGACCAAAGTAATGCATTTTATTAGAAGGCACGTGCATAGAATTGGTTAGTCAGAAAGGTGCCACCAAACTCCTGATTTTTCCCTCCCAGGATGTGGATGTGGGTTTTCTACCCCCTTGAGATGAGAACCCTGTGTGATGTAAAAGGATCATGCCGGGAGAGCAGGTGGACAGACCGGGGAAGGAACAGAACAGTCCACCCCAAGTGTTTGGGGAAGGGGCATCTTAGCTGCTGACACCACTAAAGGGGCTGGAAGAGATCAGGGTCAAAGACCCAGATGCCTCATCCGAGCCAGTCGACTGCACGTACCACAGGCAGCCACAGGTCAAAAGCAAGAAAGGAAAAGTAAAAATGGGGCAAATCACTGAAATGTGGTACCCTTCCAGGCAGGACTCAGGGCTGGGTACGGGATGGAAACAGCACTGGCTGCACTTTGATCTCCGGCAGGAGTGGGGTGGGGGTGGGGGTGGCGCACCCTTCCTCTCGGCAGCTTTCGATAGCATCGACCGTGTTGGTATCCCTCTGGATCGGCTCCGTGGGCTGGGGGTGGCTGGCACCGTATTGTGCTGGTTCTCTTCCTTCCTGCAGGGCTGGTACCAGTTTGCGCTGATTGGGAGCGAGAGGTCCCGGTAGTCCACTCCTGCTTAACATCTACATGAGGCCGCTGGGCGAGCTCATCCGTCGCCATGGGGTGGGGCATCATCAGTACGCGGATGATACCCACTTAAACATCTCCGCCCCTGGCAAACTAAGCGATGCTGTGAACGTCCCGTCCCGGTGCCTGGAGGCCGTGGGCTCTGGATGGGGAACAACAGGCTTCAGCTGAACCCTGGCAAGGCTGAGTGGCTGGGGGCTCTGGGGCCTTCCACCTCTGGGGCTTTGGCACTGAATGGGGTGGCGCTGCCCCAGACGGACTCCTGCTCGAGCAACAGGTGGCAGCCGTGGCCAGGGGGCCCCTTGCGCAACTTGGAGTTGCGCGCCAGTCGCTTCCATTCCTGGATCGGGAGGCCCTGCTCAGAGCTACTTGCGCCCATCTCCGCCTGGGATACTGCAACGCCCCGGCGCGGGTCTGCCCTTGAGGGTGTCGGG